GCTTCAATGTTGCGCTTTTGAATCAAAATGTAGTTTTGGAAAACCATTCAAAAAAAGAAAAACAACACACGCCTGCTACTACCACTTCTGAATTATATGATTAATAAAGTCTTTAGAGTTTTGTCTCAAAGGATAAAGTTTATGTAAGATTTTTTTGAAGTGTTTCAATTTTAGAACTTCTGGTAAAATTATGTGTGATCCCTTAGTGAAATGAAGTGTTAACTAGTTGTGACTCACATTTTATCTATCTTCCGTGCTTAACTCTATGTGATTCAAAGACATAGTCTTAAAGCTATAATTACAGGTCTGATTTTGTAAACCAATACTGCTATGTGCATGGGACGTATTTCGTTCCGCTGAATGAAACACTGCCCTTCAGCGAATCTGAACGAAGACGAATTCCCATCAACTACTACCAGTGGGTGAGTTCACAGTGCTCTTCAAAAAATTTATTATTGCTGCTACCACATCACTGATCATTACTTTTGAAGTTGTTGACACAGCAGTCGTTCGCCACTTTCTCGAAAATTTTTCATCGCTAGGTCAACATGTAGAAAAACGAAAAAACTTTGTCAAAGTAGTATGATTCTGGCAATTTCAGTCTTTAAAAATCAAAATTCACTGTAATTCAATAATAAGATTTTACTTATACAAGTCTGCTGTTAGCTTGTCTTGTTACCGTTGTTACATTGTCTTGTAGTGTTATGTTATTGCACAGATGCTTACCAGAAACACTTAGATCAGCAACATGATGGTTTCATGAGGAACCTTGTCTTTGCAGTTTCCTGCAAATTTGTGTAATGAAGTATCCCATCCTGACATGTCGAAAACCACATAGTCCATTAATTTCTTTTTTGAAAGAACCATAATATCTATCTGCCGCACTTCAATTTTTGACAGATCTCCATGAATCAATGTATGTAGTACTTCCTCAAACAATGTGGATGCCATATTTGTAATCATGCATGTAATCAGTGTGCAGATATCATGCAACAATGTTCTGCTATACTCAATTTGTCTTTTCATAATCAATGCACAGAGATGTATTCTAAGATGACATATGGATAAAAGCTTACTTATAATCCAACGATAATATCATTTTGCTTGACGCTAAACAAATAATTGCTTACTGTAAAGTTCAAATA